TAACTGTACTAACATGTGTAGAGGGACGGAGATAATAAAGACCATGAGACTCACATCCTGTGCCAATCACCCGTTTCGAACTCCGGTCCCGTAAACACACGAATTGTTGGTAAAAGTAACAACACAATCAAGAGAACGAGTTAGACGACCGATGGACAACGAGGTTAAAAGGAGACCCGGGGACATAAAGAACATTATCAATGGTTAAAGAAGGAAAGAGTTTAACCGTTCCAACACCATGAGATGATACTCTAGAGCCATCGACCGAGTGTAACGAAGGTAAATGATTAGGAGAGGATAAAGAGGAGAACAAAGATTTGTTACCGGTAATATGATCAGTGGCTCTGAATCAAAAACCCAAGGACCAGGAGAAAATGATTGGGTCGGACCGACAGAAATATGTATTTGTATGTGTGACGGATATAGTGGAACTAGAAGATCGTTGATCCTTATACCATTCGAGAAATTTGTTGAACATAGCGGACATGTCGGATGCAACGAGAAGAAGGAAGATCCCCTACGAGATAAAGGTGGGGAAAGATTGGTCCGAACAACTACGACGGATCGAGGAGAACGACCATGTAATGTATAACACTTGTTAATCTTGTGACCTAGCTTGCCACAATGTTCACACTTAGGACGCCGTTTTTCCTGTTTGCGAGGGCGAGCCCGGTCATCACGATGGGATGTCAACACAAAAGAATCGTTAACAAAATTGGAAATAGTGGAAGAAGTCATGAAAAGCGGGAGAACAAACCCCGACCGAGACAAGCAAAATCATATGTCACCGGTAAAAAAAATGAAACTCCGGCGAATTCTCCGACGACGGCGGACCCGATGACTCGCTCCAGTGGCACGTGATGACGATAACGTGAACTAGTACACTAGGTAAGTTCCCGGGAAAGAGAGGTGGGTCACTAATGAACACACTTAAATACCAAGTCTTTCCTTGCCGGAACTTTCCTAAACATGCACTTTCACACTACCAAATAAAATTCAATGACAAAGATAATTCTTTTCGATGTGGAGGATCGGTTTACCGGCAGCGGTGGGGCGGCTCTAGCGAGCGGTGGGGCGGCTCCAACGAGTGGACAAAAGGCGGAAAAAAAATTCAAGATAACCTTAAGCTCTAGATACCATGTTGAATATAAAGAAAATATAGTTTGGAATTAATTTCCCTTGTGTATAAATCACACATAGGGTGGTCTATTTATAGTAGAGAAATACAACTAAAAGAGTAACTGAAAGTAACAGAATAAACGAGAAGATATTGTTTGATATTGTGGTTACCAATATCTAACAATATCTTAACAATATCAAATAATATATAAACAATATCTAACAATAACAAACTATTTTGAGACTATTGTACTTTTACAATAGGTTTGATGTAAATGATTTTATCAATCTGTCGTTGTATGTGGATATATGTTAGTAGTAAGTCCCAACAAAATTTAAATTCAGGTTTTAAAGACACAGTTGTCTTGAAAGCATGATATGAAGGATTAGGAACCAATAAACAAAAGTTTAGGAATACAATGTCACTGGAGCATAAAAAAATAAGAAAGTTTTGTTTTATCATAAACATTAAGGTTTTGCAGTGCTTTAACGAGACAATAGAGTAAACTAGTTTATACACAAATTTCTATCAAGTAAGTTATCCTTAAATATAAATCATAACAATACAACAAAAATGATGAAAATGCATTGAGTACTGTATATCAACAACGAAAAATCTTATAAATATCATAATCAAGTACAAACCATACATTACATAAACAATAAGAATAATTAGTAGATACATCAAAAATCATAATAGAGAATATGAATATTATTATTAAAAGGATTTTTATCAATATTTTGAGATTGAAAAAAAATAAAGGAAAGAAATGTCACCTTATGAAAACTATATATTTATGCTTATGTTTTATATTATAAAAAATACATAATTTATCTTATAAATTATTTAATATATTTTTATTCTTTTTTATATTATATTAATATATTGGATAGTTGTTGGGTTGTTTTATTTTTTTATAATATATTATTATCATATTATATTAAAAATATTATAATTTATTCTTATAATAAATTTATATTATCTATTATCGTTTTTAATTCTCTATTATCGTATTTTTTTATTTTTTATTTTTTTAAGTGAGTTTATACTATTATTCTCATTACTGGCATTACAACTGTAAAGAAAAATACATAAAAAAAATCTAAAAAGTATTCGTTGACGTATAGAAAAGGAAAGCAGGTGGATAGAGTTTAAGATTTTGAGGAAAGATGTGCATCAAATGTACGATGTTAATGTTGATTTTGTTTAAAAAGGGCAAATGTGTTAACCTCAATATTTTTTCACTACTCTTTAGATGTTTTTGTTTTTCTTGTATTATTTTAGAATTTTTTTTCATTTATTAATCTTACGATTTTTTTTGTTACTTGCATTATTGTTCGTCCTAATCTAATTTCTCATAATGCAATTCATGATAATATTAATCTAAATTGTTCTCGTGTTAATAACATAAATGTATTGACATATTCGTTTTAATATTTGTTTTTTCACTAATATATATAAATAATATGTTCTTACCTTTTATAATATAATATTATTTTAATCAAATATATAAGAGAAAAGAAATAAATATATAATACATATAAGAAGTAAAAGAAAATGAGATATATATGTATAAAAGTGAAAAAATATTTATAAAAAAATCAATAATCCAAAATAAAAGCACACATTAAAATATGTGTTTCCACTGGTTTATTTAAAAATAAAATAGAAAAATATCTATCAGAAACAAAAGGATATATGTTATTTACTTTTAAATATAAAAAATAAATAAATATATATTTATAAATTAAATGGATGCATCTCATTAACGTGAGATTTTGAAAGTTAAGTGTAATGTTCTCTTTAATTATTGTCTTTTAAGAATTGAAAAGATACTAAACCAACAAAATTTATGTTCAAATAAAAAATAGGTAAATTAAACTTACCTTTCTTTAAATTACGCCAATCTCATGTTTTTCTATATATTTAGTATATTTTAATAAACGAAGTAACACTCACTCTTTCATTTTACTTAAAAGTAACACTAGTTAACTTTAAATAAAAGAGGAATAATAATAAAAATAACCCTTTAAAAAAATTAATTAATATTCTATAAAAATTTGAATGATTTAATTATAGGATGATTATTCTAATTTTTTTAATTAATTTTTTTCTTAGATAACATTCCCACGATGATGTACCATGTAATGAAGAATACATGTTTTATCCTCTCATATGTGAAAATTTGTGCATGAAATACACGATATTGATGTTGATTCTTTTAAGAAGCAGAAAGAAAATATCCTCAAGAATTTTCCGCTACTCTTTTCAATGATTTTTTTTCTAGTATTATTTTTTTTTCATTTGTTAATCCCACAATTATTTTTTCTTACTTGCATTGTTGTTACTCCTAATCTAATTTCCCATAACATTAATTTGTTGTCATGTTAGTAATATAAATGATTTACATATACCCTTTGATGTTGTATTTTCACTGGTATATATAAATGATATTTAATTTTTTATAACTCATTTATGTTACTACTTCTTATAATGTAATTTGATTTTTATCAAACATACAGGAGAAGAGAGGAAAAAAAAATGTATAAAAAGTAAAAAGAATGAGATATACCTAAAAAATAGAGAAAAAATTAATAATACAAAAAATAAAAATCATATATGCTATCTTTTCATTAGTTTATTTTAAAACTAAATATAAAAATGTTTATTAAAACTAAATAATATACATATTATTTTATTTTAAACCAGAGAAAGATAAATATATATTTATAAATAAAATGGATGCTTCTCCTTAATATGAGATTTTGAAAGTTAAGTGTAATTTTTTCTTAAATATTGTCTCTTAAGAATTAAACAAAAAATAAACCAACAAAATTTATGTCAAACTAAAAATTAGGTAAATTACACTTACCTTTCTTTAAATTACGTTAATCTCATATTTAATTTTTTCTAGATATTTAATATCTTTTAATAAACAAAGTAACCCTCACTCTTTAATTTTACTTAAAGTTAGCATACTCATTAAAAATTAAATTTAAAAGGAATTAAAATAAAAAGTAAAACTTTAGTAAAATAATTAATTAATGTTTTATAAAAAAACTAATAATTTAATTATAGAACAATTACTCTCATTTTTAGTTAATTTTTTCTTAGATAACATACATTCCCCAGATTATGTATATCATGTGATGAAAAATACATGTTTAATCCCACTCATATGTGAAAACTTGATAAATTACTATCATAAACAAAATTAGTCTCTTATCCAAAGAATTAGGAAAAATCTAAAGAAATATTTTCTAAATTGAATATTCACATTCTTTTAATAAAGTATCAATCGTACTTTTAGCTTGTTAAAATTATTATCTGTATTTAATATCAGTCAATTTAAGCATATATTTTATAATTCTTTATTTTTTTACATTAAACTAATGTTTTCCAAGAAATATATTTTTATAAAATAATTTGTAATTTTGTGATAATATAATTTTCATGGTATTATTGATATATAATAATTAAACATTCATTTTGTTTAATTCGGTACTTTAACTTTTAAGATTTAAAGCCTTAATTTATTTTTATAATATTTAACACAAAACAATAAAGATGAGTATCATTTTATTCAAATTTAAATATAAGAAAGTAAATATCTAATTAAAAGATAAATAAAATATAAGCATATTTACTAAAATAAAAAAATAAAAAAATTGCGAATCTCGTTTACCTAAATGCAAGAAAATTTAGAGTGGAATGGATAATTAAGATCAGGGTGGATTTTATATTATTATGAGGTGCGCGCCAAAATTGTAACAATTTCCCGCGTTCTCTTCAAAACCTAGGGTAGCAGCGTCGTCTTCTCTACCAGAAAATCACACACACTAACTCTTCACATTGCTCAGAGATCGAGAAAGACATAGAGATGGTGGACGAGGAGCCAGTAAGCGGAAGGCGAAGGTCAAGGGGACCGGAGGCCACCGCTCGCAGTGAAGCGTTGGAGCGTCTAAAGGCTCGCCTCCAAGGCGGTCGTCGATCCGACGGCACTGGGCCCCAAATCAGGTTAGAAAACCCTATCTACGACACTGTCCCTGAGGATGAGTACAACGCCCTCGTCGCTAAACGCCGTGAACAGGCGCGCTCCTTCATCGTCGACGATGAAGGAATCGGATACGGCGATGAGGGCGAGGAAGAGGACTGGTCTCAAGCTGGATTCACTCTCTCCTCCGATAAATCCGAAGGCGAATCGGAGAGACCGAAGCGGAAGAAGGTCGAGAAGAAGGATCCCCAGCCAAAACGTCCTTCTTCGTCGCTCTCCGCCGCTGCAGCCATGATGGGAGGGCAGAGGCTGTCTTCCATGTTCACTTCTTCCGTTTTCAAGAAGAGCAGAGACGACAAAGCCTGCGAGAGCATCGTCGACGATGTTATCGCTGAATTCGCTCCGGACGAGACCGATAGACTGAGGCGCAGAAGAGCGCAAGGGAATTCCTCTTCGTCTTCCATTTCCGTTGCAAACAATACTTTGCGTGTTAACAACACATATAAGGATAAGCCTTCTGCTGATATGATGGGAGGTTTTTCTTCATTGTCGGAAAATGGTGACGCGGAGTCTGTTAAGGTAATTGTTGATAGCGATGGTTTTGAGTCGGGGTTTGAGCAAAAGAGCGAGGTGGTTAGTCAAATCGAAGATTTCGGGCGTGGAAGTTCTGAAAATGGACTGGCACCGATGGTGGAAGCTGATGATTGTAAAATTATTGAAGGCATGGTTGAGGAGAAAGAGGTGAAGAGTTTTGAAATTGAAGTCAAAGCAGGTGCGAAAAAGGAGGTGTTCACTTTGAACGCGAAGGTTAAAGAGGAGGAGGATCCTGCATTGTTTGCGACTGCTGGTTGGAAGGAAGCAATGCGCGATGCTGGTGGCGTCGATGTTGCTGTTTCGAAGGATGCTTTGCATAACCAACAACACTCAGAGTTTGACCTGGAGGAAGATGGATCACTGCCTTTCTATATATTAGATGCCTACGAGGAGTTTTATGGGGAAAATAGGGGCACCCTTTATCTGTTTGGGAAGGTACATTTACACGGCAGATTATCGTATTTCATAGTTTTTCTGTTATTTATTTATTTATTTTTGCCTTTTCATCAATGGTACATCATGCTACTTTACTTTCTTTAACCCATTAGATTTTACGTGTAGAAGAAAACCCATAAGGTTTAGATTTTCTGTTGTCAAGTTTTCATTAGCATGGTTAGTGTCAACTGGCAAAACCATAATTTGAAGTTTACTATTATTTCTATTTTTATTATTATTGAAACTTGATTTTGTATTATGGACTTGGCCAATGGAAGGTTGAGTTGTTAAACAGTCGGTTGCTCATTGCTGGTAGTGACTATGGTTTTGATAATTTGCATTCTCAACTTTGGTTTAAATTCAGGTTAAAACAGGGGATTTGTATCAGAGTTGCTGTGTTATTGTGAAGAACATGCAAAGGTGCGTCTATGCAGTTCCTAGCCGACCTTTGCATCGGACTGAAGAGATGACTAGTCTTGAAAGAGATGCCCAGGAGTCTCGAATTTCTTCTGCAGATTTATTTAAAAAGTTGCAAGTAAGTTTATAATTTGATCTCCGGTACACATGTATATAATATATGCTTTTGTTTTTATTTATTTATTTTAATTTATACCCTATTTTTATTGGTTTCTGGCTTGTCACATTTTTTGTTCAAATTGTAGGATGCAGTGTCTGATGTGAAGAACGAGATAGCACAGCATTTGGTGAATTTGGATGTTTCTAACTTCAGCATGGCACCTGTTAAGGTTTGCTGATTACATAGTTTCTGATGTCTCGGAGTGCATAAATGAGTTATATGATGCTTTTGTGCCACGTGGATGCATTGATTTTTCTTTTAATTCTGATTCCTTGCTCATTTTTGCAGAGGAAATATGCATTTGAACGATTTGAAATTCCTGCAGGTGAAAATTATGTCGTAAAAATCAATTATTCATTCAAGGTAAACATTTAGATCCATCTACATCCTGAAGGAAACATATGAAAAATGTTCAAAATATAACTTTTGATATGTACCGAAGTTATTTTAAAGACAACTATAAACTCCAAATCTGTCCCTTCTCTAGTTAAAGGCATTCTCTAGAGTTTGTTTCGCTAGTGCAATTTTTTTTGAATTTATTTTTCAATATATTTACCACTGCAGGATCCTGTACTTCCAGTAGATCTCAAAGGAGAAAGTTTCTGTGCTCTCTTAGGAACTGGTTGCAGGTAATACAAGTATTCAAAGACTATCCTGGGTGACGTTTTGATAGACCGATTGTTAAAGAAATAAACACAATATAGAACACTGTAATCATATACAATACAACATCGCACTTGCTGTCCCAGAGACTGAAGTCTCCTACTGAGAGTATTCTCTGTCCTCAAACTACGAATAACTTCACACGCCCCAATTACACAGCCTTCTATCAGATATATACTCCTAATGCATAACCACAAGCAGTTATTTTCTACAAAAAACTTTTATCCTAGAGTCATTAAAAAAGATCTGTTTTCTAAGCAGTTTTTTTTTCTACAAATATCTGTCTCTTGTTTTGTGATGATAACAACATTCAACTTTAAGGATGATTATTGAATGGACTTTCTTGGAGATAATACTTGGAGAGTAATCTGGCAGAACCTTGGAGATTTCTTTTTGTGAAGATAAAATAATTTTCTCCGAAACTATTCATTCCAAATACGTGCTGCATCAATAAGCAGAATATTACACTGTTTTTATTCTTATTTTGTTGTGAGGATTGAGGAGCTGACTTAACTCTAGAGACTAAAAGCCTATTTTATGGTAACAGAAACATGAAAATTTGTATTTTTTAAATTGTTGAGTTCCCAAGTATTTGACTAGTATCATGCAATGGGTTTTATACTGATATCAGCCACTCTTGTCATGAGTGTCCATAAATTGAACATTTATCTTGTTAGACAAACATTTGAACTAACTATTACAATGTGCAGTGCGCTCGAGCTTTTTCTGATTAAACGGAAGATAAAGGGGCCTTCATGGCTACAGGTTTCTAAGTTTTCTATGAGCTCATCTTCCCGAAGGGTGAGATTATTAAGTTGTGCGTCAAATTGAAGTAATGTATATGACTTGTCCTTTATTCCATATACAGGCCACCTTGTTTTAATCCAAGCATCTTGTTTGTGCTTACAGGTTAGCTGGTGCAAATTTGAAGTGACCGTTGACTCACCTAAACACATAAGAACTTCAGCTCCTTCAAAAATCACTTCTAAGATTCCTCCGGTGGTTGTTGCAGCGATAAACTTAAAAACCATCATAAATGAAAAACAGAACATAAATGAGATTGTATCAGCATCAGTTGTCTGTTGCAACATGGTTAAGGTTGTTTTTGGGTCCTTTTTTAGTGTTTGCTTACCATCACTTTGGGTTTCTTATGCATTGAATGTTCAAATAACTGTCCCCGAGTATCTGGTCCTATCAGTATGCACTTATTGACTGTTTTAATATTTACTATCAAATTTTAAGATATTCGTTAGTAGATAGTTCACCATTTTAGATGGAGTTGCAGTGGAAGTATGATCAGCAGTAACCTTCTCTGTTTGACTTTTTAGATTGATACCCCTATGATGGCTTCAGAGTGGAGGAGACCGGGAAGATTGACCCATTTTACTGTTGTTCGTAAACTAGACGGGAGTATATTCCCTATGGGATTCAACAAGGAGGTTACAGACAGAAACATAAAATCTGGTTCAAATATTCTCTGTGCTGAAAGCAGGTAGAGATATTTCAAGATGGTTTGTTCTTTTCTGCATGACTATGTTATTCTGAATTTGAATATAATGTCTAAATATTGTGAAACTTTTATTGGAAATTATAATCGGTTCTAGGCTTGACCTATCTAATAATTTGTTTTCAGTGAAAGAGCTTTGTTGAACCGCTTGATGTTAGAATTACACAAGTTGGATAGTGATGTTCTTGTTGGACATAATATTTCTGGATTTGACTTGGATGTTCTTCTCCACAGATCCCAGGTGGGAATTTTGGCTTTGCCTCAAACAATTTCTTGTTAATTATTTGACTTTTCACAAATAAATCAAATTTTGCATGTTTCCTTTCGTCTTATTCCTCATGGTCAAATGGGTGGTATATGCTGATAAAGTAATGGCTGATATATGGATGAAAAATAGTTTGTTTAGGTGGTTTGAGCAATTGCATCAATAAGGAATAAAATCATTCTCACGGGCGGTAAAATAGTATGAAAATTACATGAAGACCAAAATTACTTAGGCAGAATTTGATTATGAAGAGGTTACATTGGGAAGATGGTCAGTAGAAACTGTGGTTGCATTCACACAATATTAAATGGAAAGTTATAATTCATTTGTAAGTCTGAATTTGTCCTGAAGAAACATGTAACTATTTTGCAGTTTTTTCAGCCCGACATTTTTGTGGTAATTTTAAAAATATTGTGATTGCTGTCTAACTGTTGAATGGACAAAGTTTTCCATAATTTTTTCTGTTAGACTCATTGGCTGATGCATCAGTTCATGTTTCCTGAATCAGTATTATCAAGAAATGAAAACTATATTTTCAGTCAGTTGTTTTCAGTTTACTGTTTTATTTTTTAAGCTTAAAGCTTTATACCGAATTTCTATGTACTGTTGTTTTGGGGTTTTCATCATCTGTGCAAGGAAGTAAGTTCCATTGCCCCTAAATGGCCCATACTATAATTTAAAGTCCATTACGCTTTTTTAAACAAAAATCTGCTGCATTCCATCCGACTTGCATTTATACACTTAGTGCTACACCTAAAAGCACCTACAAAAAATTATGCAGGCTTGCAAAGTAGCAAGCAGCATGTGGTCTAAGCTAGGTCGACTCAACCGATCGACAATGCCTAAACTTGGACGAAGAAGCAAGGTTTTTGGTTCTGGAGCAGATCCTGGTATCATGTCTTGCATTGCTGGCCGGCTTCTTTGTGATACATACACATGTTCCCGTGACCTATTAAAGGAGGTAAAATAATCGTTGAGAACTCGCATTGAGCAGGACTTGCGGTTTTTGCTTCTTAGTAACCATCGTCATTATTGGTTCTTCCAGGTTAGTTATTCTTTAACTCACCTTGCAAAATCACACCTGAACAAGTTTAGAAAGGAAGTTGCTCCACATGAAGTTCCAAAAATGTTCCAATCAGCAGAATCCCTAATGGAGCTTGTAAGTTCCAATATACTCAAACAACTCTATTTTTTTATTGTGGAGAACTATTTGAAGTGCTTGTTTTGCAATGTTAACTGTGGATTTTTTTTTTCAAAAAATGTACACTTCAGTATCATGGAAGCTTTTTGTTTCAGTTAATTATATATTCTGCAATGGTTTGCACTCACAAATATTGAACTACGATGCTTGCATTGTTAATGTTAGTAACAATTTATTTACCATAAATGATATTTTTGACATTATGAGTAGATTGGAGTTGAACTTGATAGTGATTTTGGGATGAGTTGTTGAAACTTGAATAATTTGTAGTGTACAATATTTTAATGACTATAATGAACAACTGTTATGGGATCTTGTCAACTTATATGATATTGCAAAATATTCGTGTGGGTCAAAGAATTTACCTTTTTCATTTGGAATATTTGATTGATTAAACAAATATTTAGTTTATTTGCTTCTATGCTGACTGTCATAATGTTCTTCACTTGTGCAGATTGAATATGGTGAAACAGACGCATGGTTGTCTATGGAACTCATGTTTTATTTAAGTATTCTTCCGCTGACACGTCAGCTTACTAATATAAGTGGTAATCTGTGGGGGAAAACTCTTCAGGTGAGCCCCCTTTGTATTTACTTTCTAGCTTGATTTGATATTAGACATGAGCTAACAGCAGAGGCCAACAACTAATGTTTTTTAGTTTATTACTTCAGGGTGCTCGAGCACAGAGAGTTGAGTATCTTTTGCTGCATACATTCCATGCAATGAAATATATGGTGCCAGACAAGTTCTCAAACTATGCAAAAGAAACAAAATTGACGAAACGTAGAGTAACTAATGATGTTGAGGATAGCAATTATGATGTAGATATTGACGATGCAAACTATGACAATGATGCTTCCGAAGCAGATAATAAGAAAAGCAAAAAGGGTCCTTCATATGCTGGGGGACTGGTTTTGGAGCCAAAGAAGGGTCTATATGACAAATATATATTGCTTCTGGATTTCAACAGTCTTTATCCTTCTATTATTCAGGTGGACGTCGTTGTTTTTCAAAATATGCTTGGTTTGCTTTGTCCAATTCGTTACATGTGGCAATTTGTTACATTTTCTACCGTTCGCAACTTACTGAATTAAATTGCAGGAGTACAATATCTGCTTCACAACTGTTGAAAGATCTATGGACGGATCTTTTCCACGTCTACCATCTAGTAAAACAACTGGAGTCTTGCCCGAGGTAAATATGCACAGATATACAAATAATTTAATTTTTTAAATCATTTTGAGCTTGAAGTTTTTTATCAGTTTTTTTTCTATGTTTTGTATGATTTGGATATGAAGTCCTACCAAATTATATTCCCTGATTTAATAAAATTACAACTTTTACAAATTAGTTACCTTTTCTCTGTATGGAACTTATTCCAATTAAGCTTTACATTTGTTGTCAGTGATGCATTTATCCTGAAGTGCTTTATTTATTCTCAACAGGAGGCTGTGTCTCTTACTTGGTTACGTTTGGATAGGGTGTTTTAAGATTTTTAGATTATTTTTACCTTGATAACTGCGATGTAAGTGGATTTTCAAGAGTTATCTCCATCTTGTTTGTTTCCACCTTGGTTGCTGTTCTTGTTTACGTGAAAAACCAGTGTTGGAAAATTATAATTCAACAGTATTTTTGTTTTTCTAAAAGCTATGAAATTAGTAAAGGATGGCCAATCAAGTTGCCATGTTTGTTTCAATGGAAAGTGATGTAGAACGTGATGATAATTAGACTAGAGAGAACAATCTACTTTTTCTGTAATTTCAAGCATCACAGTGAATAATTTTCTGCGTCCAAATAGGATTTGATCACCTATGATTTGACATATTCTTTGCTATTACGGAATGAGGTACACAACCGTAAAAGAAAATCACTGTAAGTATCGTAAAGTAGTAGCACGGCAAGTAAGGGCAAGCCATGGCTGTTTATTTCACCTACAAAGCACATTTATTTCGAAACAGCATTTTATGACAATTCATTTTAAATTGCTTCACAATAAACTATCCTGTCTAAGCATTCCTTGTGTAAACACACTTTAGTTTTTGCACAAGGGGACCATCAAGATCCTAGAATATTTATTTACTTTGTTCACGTAAGTAAAAGTGGCATGTCTGTTTTTCATGCGGTTTATCAATATATTTAAAAATTTAGATTACTTATTAATGTACAAGGCTATTTTCATTTTCCCTCCTGTAGACTACAAAGTTTGGATGCGTGTATAATTGAGTATGTTTGTTGTGCTAGGTGCTAAAAAATCTGGTCGATCGGAGGAAAAAGGTAAAGTCATGGATAAAGAATGAAAAAAAGAAGAATGACAAAGCTGATCCTATTAGAGTTCAGCAACTGGATATTCAGCAGCAAGCACTGAAGCTTACTGCAAACAGGTATTATTATTTATCTTTTTCTCGCATCTTCCAATATTTAATGTCATTCTTTGTTCTGTGTTAAATTTTAATAGTGTGTGATGCAGTATGTATGGGTGCCTGGGATTTTCCAATTCAAGATTTTATGCTAAGCCATTGGCTGAGCTCATTACTCTACAAGTAAGAATATACTGGCTTATTCTGCGTAACCAGTGATTACTATACTCAAACATATTTCAAATGCTTAAACATTTGCATGTCTATTGATCATACAGGGAAGAGAGATACTGCAGAGTACTGTTGATTTAGTCCAGAATACCTTGAATTTAGAGGTTATCTCTAGTACTTTTCATCTTGGAGTTTTATAGAGTTTGTATATGAATTGTATTTATTTGATATAACTGGTTAATATTAGTTCTTAATTGGTGCACTGTCTGTTGGTTTATAGGTGATCTATGGCGATACTGATTCAATAATGATTTACAGTGGGCTAGATGATATTGAGGAAGCTAATAAAATTGCGCTAAGAGTTATTCAAGAGGTAAGATTTTACTATTAGCTGTGCAAAGCTCTTTTGAGCCTATATACAAAATTCTTGGTGGTTTAGATTTGCATCTTCTTTCCTCTATTCTTATATTGTGCAACATGGTGAGTAAGAGCTTCAACTAGAGTTTTTTTCAGCCTAGTTATCCCCCGATAAAATATATTTGACGATTCTTTTCTCATTTGATTAAAAGATAATTTTGAAGTTGTTTATACTTTCTGGCATGTTTAGTTTGCACCATAATTCTGGCATGTGTGCATATTTCAAGAATAAATGGCGGTTTTCCTTCCTTTTCTTTCCTCATCGATGACCCGGTGATATGTGTTTTCTGGTTTAATTTTGTCATCAGGTCAACAAGAAATATACATGTTTGGAAATTGATCTTGATGGTTTATATAAAAGGATGCTGCTTCTCAAGAAAAAGAAGTATGCAGCTGTAAAGTTGTTGTTTAAAGATGGCACCCCATATGAGGTATGTTTATGATTTCTTATTCTTTTGCATGGTGCAGGATATTGAACGTAAAGGTCTTGACATTGTTAATGCATGGTGCAGGTTATTGAACGTAAAGGTCTTGACATCGTTCGTCGAGATTGGAGTGTATTAGCTAAAGAATTAGGAGATTTTTGCTTGACTCAAATTTTGTCAGGAGGGTATGTTACTTGCCTTTTTGCCAATTTGACTATCTAAGGTGCATGATAACTCACTTTTAGTAACTATTTATATTATGGTTCCCATGCTTACAGGTCATGTGAAGATGTAGTGGAGTCAATCCACAATTCTCTCATGAAGGTAAATTGTGATGTTTTGAAGTATCAGCCATTTGTTTATATTACCTACCATGTGAGTCAAAGACGCTTCCTGGAGCTTTGGGCTCGCTGCTCTTTTGCCCAAAGAGTTGAATGCTATTTTTGGAGTGGTCTAAAATCCCGAATGCTTAGCTGTATTTTCATATTTGATGGGATTAATCGAAGATGTGGAATAGTTATTTTAGTGATCTAATAATCAATCATTGGCGAAAGTTTATTGGAGGATTTTGCTCATGTAAATTTGCCTTTCATTAGAGTTTGATGATTATTTTTCCTGCAAACTAATGGATGTTAATCTTAATACAGATACAAGAAGAAATGAGGAATGGAAATGTACCACTAGAAAAATATGTCATTACAAAGACATTGACTAAACCTCCTGAAGCTTATCCTGATGCCAAGAACCAGCCACATGTTCTTGTTAGTCCTAGCTCTTTTAATTTTTGTTATTTCAAATAGTCTGTTCTATGTTTTCTTTTGCTGTGATCTGCATGATTCTGACTTCTGAGGATGCTTTTTCTTTATCAACGTGTAGGTGGCACAAAGATTGAAGCAACAAGGTTACTCTTCTGGCTGCTCTGTTGGTGATACAATCCCTTACATAATTTGCTATGAGCAGGTTTGTCATTTGTCATTCTCTTCCTATCAAAGGCCAAATAGTGTAACACATAAAAATGTTTTTCATAAAGTATTTGGCGCAGGTTATGAGCTGTCTCAATTTGTATTTGCTTTGATTAGGGCGGTAATTCAGGCAGTGGTGGTGGCATTGCTCAACGTGCTAGACATCCTGATGAACTTAAACGAGAACAAGGGACATGGCTGATTGACATTGATTACTATTTATCTCAACAGGTATCTTATACTGTAGTAGCTAATTTTATGAATAACAATGGCTATCGAGAACTGTAACCTGGTTGAGTATTTTCTTTTTCCTCTTATAGATCCATCCCATAGTATCACGTCTTTGTGCATCAATTCAGGGCACAAGCCCAGAAAGACTGGCTGATTGCTTAGGGCTCGACTCGTCCAAGGTTAAGTATACTACTTCCTAGTTTGTCTCAGCATTCAGATACTGGGTTTTACTTTAATTTTTTGTATGAATTCTCCTGAATTTGAAAGCTATTGCTTTACAGTTTCATCATAAATCAAGTGAAGCTTTAAATGATGATTCTAGAAGTTCACTCTTGTGTGTTGCTGATGATGAGGAGAGGTACGTCTTGGTTTTTAATTTTGGTCCCATTAATTGTCAAAAAAATCTCTTAAATGCGAATATTCACTGCTAATGTGAATATAGAGACTGGTAAAACTTTTTGTTTCAATTCTGAAATTCAGTATTCTTTGCAGAGATTTGAACAAGCTGCAGATTATTTTTACAGTATTTTAGCTTTATCTATTATGCTTTGTTAGATTCTTCCTAAATCCTTGTTATGATTCAACAATTTTTCTGAAGGTCTCCCTATCCATGATTATTAATTAATGAATAGGATATGATAAAATAATTGCAGGTATCGGGGATGTGAGCCGTTGGTCTTGTCATGCCCCAGCTGCTCTGGTACATTTGACTGCCCACCCGTCTTTAAATCTATTTGCTGTTTGTTGGGAAGTGAAAGGCCAACCAACGTACCCCCGGAGGATTCTGACTACAATTTCTGGCGTAAGTTGTGCTGTCCAAAATGCCCAGAAGATGTTAAAATTTCTCCTGCGATGATAGCTAATCAGGTTTGACTAATTTAAGATTCAAGGCATCTCTAAAAGTATTGTTTTTCAACTGCATTTCATCGAGTTTTGACACCAATTTCAGACCCTGAGATTATCTACAATATAGAATATCTGTAGTAACACCTCCTAACATGTTTGTTGGTTTTATTTAGCACAGAATACTATTGGCGAAAATATACTTACAGTTGATTATACTTCATGTCAGGTCAAAAGGCAAGCAGAGATGTTTGTTTTAATGTACTATAGAGGCTTACTGATGGTAAGTTACCTCTCTAATATATTATGAATATTAATAATAGCCTGTGAAAATTAGGTGTCATCATTCTCGGTTGATTTTGCATCCAGTGTGATGATGAAACGTGTAAGCATACAACGCGAAGTATCAGCCTTAGGTTGGTTGGTGATTCTGAGAGAGGAACTGTTTGTCCAAATTATCCTCGCTGCAACGGCCGTCTGCTTAGAAAGGTTTTCACTCCACGAACTTGTTGAACATTAACAGTTGTTTTCATGTATGAATAAATTAACTAAATGCTTAATTGATTTTTCAGTATACTGAAGCAGACTTGTACAAGCAGCTCTCGTATTTTTGCCATGTGTTTGACGCTGTTTCTTGTATAGAAAAGGTACTCACTATATGATGCGACGACAAGATTGATGATAATTTGTTGAAAGCTTACGCAAAACCAATAGGATTTTCAAGATAATTTTTTTAATTATGTTACTTGAGTTAAAATAATGAATAACTGACTATGTAACTTGGTTCATCATTATTAATCAATATTGTTCTTGGACGCGACTCTTCCAGATGGAGGCCAAATCTAGGATAACGATAGAGAAAGAGGTGGTCAAAATTAGGCCGATGATTGATCCAGCAGCTTCAACAGCACAAAAGATCAGGGACCGTTGTGCCTTTGGGTGGGTGAGACTGGAGGATCTAGTCATTACAGTTTAACTTGCAGGTTTGATACCCACCTAAATCCTACATAAGCAAGGGCGTTTTCAGCAGAGTCATAATGAATTATAAATAAATTATCTAATGTGATCGTGTTACAAGCAAGTCTGATTGAGCAAATCATGCTGGCAGAAATAGGGCTCCGATTAAATCTCCTCGCAGTACCTATATTCTAATCTGTTCGTGACTGTGTATATGTTCAGTAAATATGTTCACGTTTATCTTTATTATTTTCAAAGCTCCTCAATTGATTGTATGAGGGGCTATAATTTTACTCTTTAGGGTAAATTTTAGATTATAGTCAATTTAATTCTACAGGAATTGATTTTTTAAGAGGGTTAGATAGTTTTATGATTAATTGCTGTTTGCAATTGTGATTTTGTATTTGTCTAAACCAGACATTGACCTGGGCTAATGCGATGTTACTTTAATATTTATAGGTAAAGTATGATTTGAGTCTGCCGGATTGTATCTTGTAAGAGTTTGTTAATCTATTAACGAGGATAAAGGTAAGGGATAAGAGATTGAGAGAACGCCTGATTTGAAAGGAAAAGGGAATTGAAAGGGGGAAAAAGGTCATAAATGTCAACAAAGTTTATGTAAAACCATCTAACTTCTACAATGTGTCGGTGTTCCTTTTCTTGTATTTGGATTTTCTTCCAAATAGTTGTTTAAAAGCAAGAAGTAAAATAGTATTAACTCTGGAAGACAATAAGTTTTCTAACCTCAAGATATTTAGACTTCTGAAAAAAATTAATACTTTTATATATAAATCAAGTATATTAAATTACATCCGTCTATCAAAAAGTTTGATAACAAAATAAAATTTAGTCACTAACTTTTTAGTCAATTTTCCACACATCATAATTATGGATGTATGTTTATTGTGAGTTAATCACAAGGTAGGGCAATTTCTTTTGCCTGGCCTCAAAAATTTAGATGCTTGCCCATTTATTTTTCCCGTGTTATCGCAACTCCCCAACAGGTGCTTCATTGAGCCACAAGGAATGAATGAAGTCATATAATTTTGCACTCACACTAACCTGCTCAATTTAAAGTGAAAGTATTAGAAGCATTCAAAGATGAAGATGATATAATAATAAAGCATGAGACCTTATACGGAGTTGGGTTGAGTCTCCTCATGTGGTCAGGTCGCATTTCCTCAAGTTGCTGAATGCATCGCTCTCTAATGTCCTTCAAAGGAGGTAGAATTTCTTCCTTTTTATCTTCAACAAATTCACCATATTACAACACAACAATAAAATGATTAAAATCAGATTGCCGCAAACTGCACTTTGTTACATTCTTACCTGAACTCCCAGCACAGTAACACCTTAGAAGCTCCTCTATTTTTTGAGGCACCACATATGCTCTCTTCGATTCTCTAAATGGATGCCGACACAGGATTCTTTCTCCCACCTATCATTATGTTAACAAATATTTATCATTACGTTTGTAAATTACACTTTATATCATCTAGGTAAGATCAACGTAGTCTTCATCAATTTCCCCCTACACCAGACTACTAACTTTTACTGATTTTTTCTCATGAATCAAAATCTGAGTTAAATGTGATGTGAAGATTAATTGTGGCTTATCAACATGTAACAGTTCTCAACCATGTAATAATAATATCTAGTAAATGGCACATGCATAAAAATACCTTGGGAGGGGGTTCATTTTCTCCGGTCAATATGTCTACCAAAGCATAACTTTCTTTCCCATACAATCTATATATTCGTTTCTTACATGGAATGGTGACCTAAAAACAGATAAAAGAGCAAAAGGATAGTAAGATTGTAATTAAATGCAAATAAATGATTCCACTTATATATTCTGTCTAGTGTTCAAACCTTTGAGACAGCTTCAGAAAGTTTGATACGAGGTTTATTATTTATCTCAACCAGCTTGAAAACAACACCTAAGGCAGCTTGAGCATAACACGTTACCAGATATGTACCAATTCCATAGGCGTCAATCTGGTGACCCTGCAGAAAAAGATGCAATCCAATAAAAAGTAGGATAAAAAAAACTATGAACTGAGGTATAGGCCAGAGTTTTAGCCAAACCATGGTTCAATCTAAGCCTAAGCCGTTCTATTCTGTCAAGATAAAATGTTTGGAAAATGTTTTCTAACATACTCTTTTAAATACGCTCTTAACTATTAATTAAAATTTATTAAAAGTTACAAAATTCATATTCAGTAAGTTTCACTCATAAACATTATAAAAGCTAGAATTTACCTGTTTGTTTAAAGCATCTAACGTTTCCTCATTAAGATCATTACTAGCTGTGATACTCATCTTCCCGAAACCGGGCAATCCAAATTCCTTCTCAATGGAGCAAAACAACTTCCTGATCTCACAAGACAAATATGCAAGATCACCAGAATCCAGCCTAATGCCAATTGCTTTGTATCTGCTCAGAACATCATCTTAAAACTCAGCAATGAATAACAATTACATAATTCCTTAAAACAGAATCAAGTGATTATGATAAAATGAGTAGAAAACTTCTTGACGTACCCTAAATCACTGAGAGCTAATGCAACTGCACAAAAATTGGGCATTCCACTTCTCATGACCTGTTAAAATATGTAATGACCATGAGCAAAAATAGTTAGACTAAACCAGAACTAGCTAGTTCACAAAAGACAAAATAAGTACAGGATAAACAAGATTTACCCATAACCATTGGACATTGATGGTCAAAATGGTGCTAAAATTATACATGTGTTAAGAATTATCTACTACTATGAGGCCTAACACGGAGAGTTGATATCCTTTTATCTGTCTTTCAATGGCAATTTATAAATATAAATTATATTTCATTTAAGTAGGTTCTAGAATAGAGTTCCATAGGATTTTTTTTGAGTTTACGTATTTGTTATAAATATTTTAGATTCCTCTATCATTATCAATGAAGAAGAATCAGAATGATTACTTTTACCTCTTTTAGTTGTAGAGCTATAATTGGTGATAAAATATATCATATTTCTTATCAACAGTGCTTTCATTAGTCTACTCTCTTACCATGGCCGTTCATGTGCCTAACAACGTGTCTAATAGCAAGAAATATAGAGTTATAAGAAAATATTAAATTCTTACATCGTAAGTGTCTACTAGGGCAAGAAAGTTATCGGGAAATGCCAAAGCATATGATGTGAACGCTGCCAGTTCACTTTTATTGGTCTCAGCAGAATAGCCACGTAGTGAATCCGACCCCTGTATAGTGCCAAATCAGTACAAATTATTGTTGTAGTAAGTGCCGAAACATAACTATATGTGACTAGAATTTGAGAAAACCCACATAGCCCTAATTTATTAAAAAACTTTAATAGCCCCAAATATGCTAAGAATTCTATATTCAGAATAATTTTCCAACCAAAAAATCCATACACCTAGTAATACTACTATCCATTCTTTTTATCCCATCACTGATATCCTATTATCCATGATCAGATGGTAATCATTGACAACTTTGAAGTAACTGCCATCAGGATGACACCAACCACAAATTAAAAAAAAATATATATATTTGAAAGGATTTATAAATCATGACACCTCAATTTTTCTCAGCCAGCCTTGAACTAAGCTAACAAAATCTTCACATGTGCTTGAACCATCTTTTTTACGAAGCGATTTATCTTTAATCTCGTCAAGGCTCTGCATAACAAAGGACAAACAAGGTATGCATAAAAGTAAGCGAAGTAAATATCTCAGAAAATGACTCTCAAGTCATAACAAAGCATAACAATACTAATAACAGAAATCATTAAAGGCCATGATAAAGGGAGGACTTTAGACTGAAATTCTATAATTATAATACGAGAGGATCTACCTCATCATGTCAAGGTTTCCTTTGTTCTATGATTTGATAATATCACTCTCATATCTTGATCTTATAAGAAATTTGCTCTTTGCATTTGGAGTTACAATCTCCAATTAGGTTCATAAATGTCTGAACTAATTGCACTGCATTTAGTTTCCCATGAATTGCAGAATAAGTATATAAATATAAAAAAGATAATGTCCCTACTAATTAACAGATATACCCATATTGAGATATAAGGTTGAATTGGTGGTAAGAGTGCATGAGAGAGGTGTTTCCAATCCTCACCATCAAAAACTAATATATAAACAACTAACATTTATCGATGACAAAAAACAGGTATACCAAGTTATATTTCCACCAAACTGTAGTGACTCATCACAAGCATCATCAGAATATGTCATGAATTTCAATGAAATGTGCACATACCATATAGGAGATAACAAATGCATGAGAATGAGTACCACGAAGGGGAATACCAAATAACATTCCTGCTGCAACGTTGCTATTGATGTGCCATATGAAAAAGCAAAGTTACACAATAGCAAATGTCACTGTCAGATTCAAAAAAATCACTAAACAAAAACCCAAACAAATTGGTAAAAAAGGAATGTCATTTTAACTTGGCAATCAACAATTGAACCTTATCCTTAATCCCAGCCTTCATTTTCCTCTCTCTTCTCTCATTAGTATGTTGAAAACCAGATTTTAGATATTTCTTGCAATATGATGCATTAATCCATATATGGCTGAAAATTCGACGTGGTAGGAGATATTAACTGTTTCAAAGTATTTTAGATCTATCTTTTCATATTGTATATCTGTGACCACGGATTTTTACCAGAATTTTGAACTACAATACTTGAAAAGGATTGTAATATACTTTGCCCAATTACAATAGATTTACCATAATTCTTTGAACCACTACCAAGATATACGAAGCATTTTCTTTGTCAATGAACAAGCTCATAGTGGGGTAACCGTTGATATAATATAAAAGCAGAGTTTACATGGCATGCTGCCAAAATCGTGCCCTGCCAACTTAAATTAACAGTAATGAAACATCTTTTATTTTTTCCATGTATTAACAGATCTTAGTAAGAAATATATTTAATTAACAGTCATAACTGCTAGTGCTAGATATAAAAAACTTGTCCACAAAAAAATCTCAGTCATGAAAACTGCTAGAGCTAGATATATACACAATATGATGAGCCTTTATTATGCCAATGGAAAACATAACCCGAAATGAAATTGTTAATAAGCTAGTACCTTGTTGCATCAAATCCCCCAATGTAACTGTACTTTGATGCACCCAATCCACCATCAGGCCCCTGCATTCAAAATAACATTCTTTTGATAAATCATTGAGAAAGGAAAGTATTTCCAATTTTTTTTTTCATCAGTTACTTTTCCAGTAAGACTTGGAAACCTGAGCCCTTCGTAGTCCAAACTCAAGCAGAGTTTTTGATTTTCCAGCAACAAAACGATGCCTTGCAGCATTAGTAGAAACTAATGATGCAAAATTAATGAGATTGACAAAAGGTGTTTCCAACAATTGAACAACCTGAACAGTATAAAAGTAAATTTAGCGCAAGAAGCACATAGTCTTTGCAAGAAACAAGAATTGGGAAGTGAAATAAACTGAAGGAGAGTATTTAATAGTAGCAGATACTCACGGCAATAGGACCTTCAACTCTCAATAGGGGTACCTTAGGAAAAACAACCGATCCTTCGGGAATAGCATACACCTCAACATCAGAGCAGTCAATTCCTCGAAGATAGTCAAGGAACCCTTCCTATGATTTTAAGCAATAATTACCAAAGTTGCAATTTATTTTGAAGGGAATATCCACTAGAAAAATGACAGCAGCATCAAACTTTGGACAAAAGGGTGTAAAAAACCATATTATTTGGTCTTAAAACTTGTTTCAAGCTAATTATAAAAATGAATCTATCCAACAACAGAGTTCCTTGATACTTTATATCATTCATTTATATTTCTTATTTTGTTTTCAGAGTAGGTGCTAGATAATGTTTTAACAAGGTGAAGATTCTTGAGAAATCAAAACGCAGACCAGAAAAAAAAAAAAGAAGAAAATGGTTCCGAGTTTTAAGGAGTATAAAAGTTACAAAACAGCTTCCAAGTGGTTCTTTCTCAAGGATCATAGGATGAAATTCATGTGAAAATTAAGACTGGTGTATTTAGACCTATAAGAATCATATAAGAGACTGTCAGAAAAAAAAAAATAAAAAATAAAAAAAAAAGGGTCTTAGAATGTGTTGCTAACATTCCTTAAAAGAAAAAGATAATTGTTTAGACGTCATTTTTAGAGTAGAAACGAGTACATACTGAAAGAAAGTGTCACGGCCATGATGAAAAACAGAACACACTTTACCTCACATGAAACAGACAAATTATTTTTTATAAAATCAATTTGTTCCTCGGTGAGCTTGTAATTAGCAGTGAATCTCACGCATTCTTCCAAACCAGCGAAAACAGTGTACTCCCCCCCAAAGGGGTTTTTCCGAAAATACAAATCAAACCTGAAATAAAATTACTCTCACCACCGAATCAGATCATTAACAAACGTATATATCAAATTGCTCCCATGTACGATGAGGATTCAATTTAAGGTTGAATCACTCACACAGCACGTTCTTGATGCTTGCCAGCTTTCCAGTAGGCATAAGCCATGGTGAATTGGTATTGATCCGTCAAGATAGGCGTCACCATCGGGTTTGTAGGTCCGGGTGTTCTCCGACCCGAATTTTCCTTCTTGGACTCTTTCGCTGCCATGGTCGTTCTATAAACTAAGTTTTTCCTATATGTAAGAAACAAAACTCTTGTGTGTGAAGCAAGCGTGAGTGAAGATCCATTGAATGAAAAACGAGATTTTGAAATAACTTTCTATTACATGCATGCAAATAGTTAATGTTATGTGTTGCAGAGAATTTGCTATAACAACAAGATATCTTCCCAAACAAAATACAAAAGGGTTTCGTTTCCAATCTTTTGAACAATGTGAGATTAAATTAAATATTCTGTGTAATCATTTTTGCACACGTGGCACCAACTCAATGTTCCCATTCGCCATTCTCGTCTAATTTTTGTATGAATACCATATTTCACCTTTGTTATGGTTTTTCACTGCAAACTTTGCGACTTAGCAACAACACTGTGAAAGAAGTTGATTTTGCATAATCACGATCATGAACAACTGTATGAACCTAAAATTTTGTAATTTCTGAATGTGGCTAAAGAATTTCAAATCAAGCATAAAAAAGAATTGGATGTATTGACTGAACACGGCGGCGGAATTTGGAAGTAGCTGCAAGAAAGAGATAATCATGGGCTTGGTACAGCAAAAAGATCCCCTCAAATTCAAGCCTGAACTTCCACCATCATATGCTTCTTATTTAATCTTTATTCTTTACAAATATTTTATATATACACAAAGAGATAGAGGGAGGGATTAAAAATTTACTCTCCCTTCTCATAGTTTATTTATTTTTTATTTAATTACCAAAGTGAATTATCATTTTTAATTTTTAGAACACATTTATTTAGGAGTAATTCACCCCTTTCTTATAAGAATAATGAGGAGGGAGTAAAGAAGAAATAACGTTAGTATTTCTCTTTTATATGTAGTATAAATAAATAAAAAATTCTAGTAAATAAAAGAGTTATTTCTTTTAGTTTTATTTATTTAATAATTTAATAACTAAAATAATTATTATATTATAATATTATATTAAAAAAATCAAGAATAAATATATAAAGTAATCTCAAATTAATTCATCAGTTAAATCATGAAAAGGTTAGTAGGTTAACCCAGCCAAAAGCATAGGAGATTTTTTTATAAATTCAAACTACAGTTATAGCTTGATAACTCTTCTTTATGACTTACGTTTCCTACTGTTTTCTTTTAACTTACTAATTTAATTATTCTTCATACTTTTTGCGTGATTTTAAGTACATTAAAAAGAAAAGAACAATGAATAATTAGTATTGATAAAATTAAAATAGATAAATTTTTATGAAAAATATCGACTACAGATATTGGAATAGAGATTGATTGATTGCATTCTTTGATAGTCCCTTAAAAATATAAAAGAAATACAAAAATAATACGAAGAAGTACTTTTTTTCCCCCATAAAATCAAGATATACATATTGTCGTTTAATTCACATAAAATTGCATTCAAGAGTAATGTTTTATCATTTTTCTTTAATGTTACTCGATACGTTTTCTTTAATCAATTCCACAATGCAATATCAAATTTATGCTCTTATAGTTTTGGCTTTACTTTCAAGTCATTTTTTATAGGATTTAGTTCTTGCAATGTCTTATGATTGTCAATGCATTCCTAGTATGAATTGCAATAAAAACTTGGTGTTTTAACAAAATCCTTTTTCTTTTCTATTGCAAGTTACTTATCTAATAATGTGCAAAATTTGTAACTTTTCAACCCTTGTTCCAGTTGCATCTATTGTTCGAATGAATCAAAATATACAATTCTCTACACTACTTATAGAATAGTAATTAAATTATAAAAACATTTTTTGCAACAGTAAAAAAAATAATCACATGTTCGAGACAAAAGAGGCGGTGGAATAAGGTAGAGAAAGAAGTACGTGACAGTTTGTTTATATTATGAATTGGTTTATTAAATGATTGAAATCTTAAAATATTTATCAAAATCTTGTCTCATAAAAAAGCTCCTTATTGTAATAGCTATTTCTTAAAAGCGTATTTCCATTATTGGTTTTGTTGCTAAATGAACTTGCAAAACTGAAGAGCAATTGATGCCAAGAACTAATAAAGTCTGAGATCAGGTGATGATTTGCGAGATCTAGAATGTGCAATGGTGGGGGCTTCGTCTTGTACACAAGACAAAGTAGTCCAATTACAGTGGCCAGGCACCTACAGACACGAGGCCAAGTCTCTCCATCACAACACGAGTTCCCCCACTGGACAAAATATGGGACTGATGGACCAGTGTGTTGAAGGGGAAATGGTTTGTCATCTAATCCAATGCCAACTACTTGTACTGTGTCTAACTCCAATGCAGAGTATAATGACCACAAAAATCCAAAAAAGCGAAAAAGAAACCTAGTGTGTGGCATGAGCATTTAATATGAACATCTCACGTCATTCAAACATTGACAATGCAATATGTTCTGATCTAACAGTGTTGAAGCAGATCAAAACATGATATATCCAACGATGCATAATAATGTTTTATTGGGTGAACAGAACAATATGGCTAGAATTTACATGAGCAACCACCTCTAGCTACAATCATATATATCCCTTAGAATTCGGAAAAATGTCCATGCGTGGGTTATGAGAGTATAAGGTATAGAAGGAGCAAACAATGTAGAGCAATGTATCAAGTGTGTTATGCCCGATGGATGCAAATTGTTTGGCCTTCAGCAATGACAGGTTGTAAAGGGAGCCAGACAAGTTTTTGGCCATTAAAGAGACAGCTATGCAAATTTATTGCTTTTCCATTTCAGGATTAGTTCTTGTCTCATCGGCACTCATCCCATTTTCAAGCTTGAGATCATCAACTACTGATGATACAGCTGCCTCCTCTTTCAACCCATCCCCTACTCTATCATTGGGCGACTGTCCCGCATCCCTTCTAGCTCTGCGATCCTATTATAACAACATAACTAACACCTGATCAATGAAGTGTTCACAAATAAACTATGAAACACGAAATTGGAAACTAAATTTGATGCTAGAACTCCATATTAGGCTGCATATGGAAATTTCATAATATGGTTAGACAATGGATTGCTTGTTCTTTTATTGCATATTAAATATTGTTGCTTGCAACTTTCACAACTTAATTATCCTCCTAATTAATGAAAGAACAAACACATACTATACTATGTTAATTATGCACTAACTACCACTATAATGAGGTTGAATTAACTTCAGAAGAAATAATCGTTACCTCTTTGTAAGGGGAGTCTTCAGCTTCAAGCATGTGTATCACATGCCCCATTTTAGGTCGCTTTTGTGCATTTGGATCAGTGCAGCGTAAGGCAACAAGAAGGGCTCGTTTCAGTGCCCTTGAAGTTGGTTTCTCAGGAAGCTTGGGATCCAGAACCCCCTCTGGATTTCTGTTACTAACCATCTTCTTGAGCCAGTCCACTAGATTCACCTGAAAATTTTGAGTTTTCCGTTACAAACAAATGAAGAAAATGAAATGACAGGGAGGTTCACAACACTGAATGTATCAAACAAACCTCTTCTGGAGGCCGACTATAATCAACAGGATTTCTTCCTGTAAGTACTTCCATAATAAGAATTCCAAAACTATAAACATCACTTCGTTCATTCAACATTCCAGTACTTGCATATTCAGGAGCAACATATCTGCGAATAGAAGAATAATTAAAATTGTTGACAACAACTCATCATGAACAATACTAAGAGGAAGGAATGGAGAAATAGAAAAGGAAGACTATACAAACCCAAAAGTACCCATGACACGGGTTGTAATATAACTATTGTCAGAGCCGAGGAGTTTGGCGAGGCCGAAGTCTGAAACCTTTGCGTTCCACTGCTTACTGAGCAAAATGTTGCTTGATTTAATATCACGGTGAACAACTTTGGGTTCCAACCCCTCATGTAGATAAGTTAACCTGTTGAGAACCAAACAGTTATAAGCCGGAAAAGGATTTCTGGCAACTGCGTAATAATTATTAGGAAATTGGAAACTGAGAAAGAATGGATGAGAATGGAAGAAATTTGGAAAGAAAGAATTTGCTATGTACCCTTTAGCCGTTCCTAGAATAATGTTCATTCGAATTTCCCATGTTAGAGGACTGCAAGGGCCAACATCCCCATGTAGCCACTGCTCCAAGTTACCATTGTCCACAAACTCATAAACGAGCATTCTGCGAGAGAGAGAGAGAGAGAGAGAGAGAGAAAATTATAATTTCATAATTATACTACAACAACGACGACGAAAAAGGGAAAACAGGGGTGATGAATTAAAGGAGGAAACTGAGAAATGAAGAGAAAAGAATACCTATGAGCTCCTTCAGCACAATAACCAAGCAACCTCACTAAATTCTTGTGGCGAACTCGTCCTATAGCTTCCACTTCAACCTTGAACTCCTTCTCAGCTTGCCCCCTAAGTTATCGATCCTGTTATTATTATGATGTAAAAGACGATTTTTAAAGAAGGAAAAGAAAAGGAAAGGAAGAGACCTATTATTGAGCAAATTCTTGATGGCAACATGAGTATTGTCGTTCAAGATACCGTGATAAACAATTCCATAACCTCCTTCGCCAATAACATTCTCAGGGGCGAAGGCGTTGGTGGAATCCTCTAGCTCCCGGAGAGTGTACCAGTGGCCCCAGCCCAAGTGAGAAACTTCGGGAATGACAGTGGGAACCTGATCGAGGAGACGATGCTCAGCACTGGCAGGGTCGTTGGAAGATGAGCGAAGCAAGGCACGTTCGGGGTAGGAGATTCGGTGGTTCTTCCCTATCTCGAACTGGATTCTGGGGTAACCGAGGGGGTTGGTTTCGTCCTCGGTGGTTGGAGCTGGGTCGGGTTCTGGAAAAGGGTCGGGTTGGAGGTTTGGGTTGGAGGTGGGGGCGTGGTCGACTCTGATTTCTTGGATCTCCTTGGAGACGTCGGGAATGGAAACGGGGTTGGCTTTGGAACGCTTAAAGGCGACCCAGACGGAGATGAGGAAGAGGATGAGGACGATGGCGGCGCCGACACAGACGCCGAGCACCACCCAGAGACGGAGGCCGAAGATGGAGGTGGGGTTGGAGAGCTGGTCGTTCATTGCGGCGCTGCTCGACTGATCGGGCATTGCTGTTCATTCATTCATTCCATCGGCGAAAGACAAAAGAAGAGAGTGAAAAAACGTACAACAATAAGAAGCAGAAGAAGAAGAAGAAGAAATGAAACGGGTGAGGAATGGAGGCAGTGGCAGCTGGCATGGTGGGACCCAGAGAAAACGCACGATGATGAATGCAATCAATTACAGCGTTGTCACTGTGTTCTGTTGTGTCTCTGTGTGGTGTGTGTGTGAACTACGCTCTCTGCTCTCTGTTCGGAGAATGCTACGTGTGTGTCCTGTCAACAATTGTGATTGTGAGTGAAGTCGATTCTCTTCAATTCGCTGTTTTTTTGCATCATTAACTCAAACGGTGCAAATAATCATTGTCAGTCAAAAATCTAGTATTTCTTTATAGTCTTACAAAATTTAATTGATGCACCCAGGGATTTGGGTACTGGATCTTTCTTTGATTTTCAATGTGCCCTTTGTTTCAAGGAAATTTAATTAACCTAGTCAAACCTGGCCAATTTATGTCGATTATGATGTGATGTTAGATGTTCTGCTCTTAATTCTTTAAAAAAATGGAAAATTTTGATTACATTTTTTTTTTCTTATCATAAATGCAAAGTGTCTTTGAATTTTGCTGATGGTTATTTATTTTTAATTCCTTTCTTTATTTGCAATGCTTAAATTTGAAATTTTGATTTTTTTTTCAATCTAAGTTTAGATAAATGTATTGTTATGTTAGTGTTTTTCTTAAATTGTGATTTCTTTTGCTAATTTTGAAAAATGTTTATTCGAATGATTGGCGTTTGAACATAATAGTTGAAACATTTAATATGGCCAGAAAAGTTAATTGGAGTAAGCAAGTTTATAGTTGTTGGATGGACATAATTCTTAGCAACCGAACATAGCCCAATAGGCCCACACGTGTAAAGTGGTTTCCATTTATTTATGAACGCTTACAACTACGAAGTTAAAAAAAACACGTACATACCTCCTATGACTTTTGTAAGCGTACATTTATCTAATGTGTCCTTTTTTTAGGCTTAACATTCAATGAATTATATTATAAATATTTTTATGATATATTTTTCACATCCATTATCCTATTTAATATTTTATAAATGATTTAAGAGACTATTTGGATTTTTAATGTTCTTCACAAAATTTAAAATTAATTTCTTGGAGGAAAAAAAATTACCTTTGTTTAAAATTACTACTTTGTGAAAAAAAATTATTTCAAATATTTTTTTTAACAATAGATTATACTTTGTAATACGAATCCAATAATTATAATATAACTTTAAGTTTTAAAAAAACCATCACATTCAACCTCTTTCATTAATGTTACAATATTCATTTTTAAGTTTATTCAACCTCTTTCGTTAATGTTATAATATTCATTTTTAAGTTTACACCCCCAACGTTGTAACGGAAAATATTATTGTTCATGGTACACAAATCCTATAAAAATAAAAAATGTTTTATTTATTAAGATTTGATTTATAATCATTTATGTTTACAATATAACCTGTGAATTATTAAAATTATTTTTATTTTTATAAAAATTAATTTATTAAAATAATATTTATAAATTTTGTTGGTTAGTTTGGTCGTTATTGTTTTTGTTAACTTGTTTTTTTTTTACTCCATCCTAAATACTTATTAAAATAACTGAAAATAGTGATGTTTTACATTTATTTAAACGTTTGTCAGTGTCACATATTTTTCTGATTTTTTATAAAATTTCTTATTGATTAAAATAATTTTTATAAATTTGTCTTATTGGTTTAATTTATGTAAAATCTAAATATGATTTTTATCCAATTTTTTTTTAATTCTGTGAAAGTTGATTGTCATTGTGACTGTGTCCTACTACATTATAAAACACAGTTTTTTTTTTCATTTTCACAGTAAAGGATTATTTTTATTGCATATAACTTTCAAATTAGATTTCAAATAAATAAAAATAAAAATTATCGTCATATAATGAATACATTAACATTGTCTTGAGTGAGATTGAATTACAAATTAGTTTTTTAGCTGTTATTATATGAACCATGAAGGAATAATATACTCTAAAAAAATAATGTCTTTCTTGTTTTTTGAAAATCGACCGATTTAAATCGGAAAATCGGATTAAAAAATATTCATTATATTTAAATAATTAAATTTTAATTAAATCATGATAAAATTTAAAAATTGGGATGAATCTAAAAAAATTCATAAAAAATTTGGGTTAAACTAATTTTAATAAAAAAATAATCTTTTTAATATAATCTTTTTATAAAATATATAATATATAATATATTTTATTTTCTATTTTATATTAATTAAGTTAATTTAAAATAATAATAATTCTATTATATTTTTATTTTTTTTAATAATTATTTATTTTATATTCTTTAATATATTTTATATTTATAATTTTTATTATAATGTAACAGAAATTTTTGTTATTTTTAAAAAGAAACATTAGTATTAATAAATTTATTATATTATAAATTTATTATTTTATTAAATTAAATTGAATTTCATTCGTTTGTAACAATCACTCCCTGTGGTTAATGAGTAACGTCTCCTGCATCAATGGCTATTTCTTCTTTCAATTTTCACCTTTTGTTTTCTTTTTTTTAATCAATGGCTATTTTCTCTTAAGTCTTTCACTTTTGTTTCCTTTCCTCTTTTCCCAAATTACCCTCCGAGATTTCGCCTCCGAAATGGCCGATGCCAACAACATAACGGATATCACCGTCATCATTGTTATGTCACTCAAGCAATCGAAACGTCTCAAACCTCAAACTCCGCCCTCCAAACCCATTTCCGCAAAACTATATTTGATTCATTTGGTAACGTTTCCAATATTTTTAATTTTTCATCGGATTTCTTGATACAGTGTTGTTTGGGGAAGTGGAGTGGTTTAGATTGGAATTTTAGATCTGAGTTGGAAAAAATAAAAGTGGGAGAAGTGTGTAAGAAAGGAAAGAAAAAAGAAAGAGAAAAAAAAAAAAAAAAAACTGAGACTCAACTGCTGGAAATCACCTTAGGAGGTGGCATACGGTGGTTCACCACGACAATGCCGTCAGGCACGACGACAAGAAACATACTAAGGAGGAAATGGAGGGACATCGAGGGTTTTAATATTAATTTTGCTTATGTATAAAACTCCAAACTTTCTATGTTTTCACATAATATATAATACATAATAAATTAAAGAATTAAAGTTATAATTAAATATTATTTTTAAATTAGTTTTAAAAAAATTAGCTAGGTCGGTGGGTTAATCCACAACGGTTTTAATCCAACCTATAGCGACTAAAAGATTCGTACGTTGATCCATTTTCACTATTCCTACATGGATTATATTTGTTTAACAGTGACCTAAAAACAGGAAAAAAAGAAGAAAAGCAAAAGACTAATAATTATTAAATAGCTTCAGAATTAGGCTAAAGCAATAAACCACCAATAAAATACACCTCAAATATTCTCAGCCAGCCTTGAACTAAGCTAACAAAATCTTCTCATGCACTTGAACCATCTTTTTTACGAAACTATTTGTCTTCGATTTTGTCAAGGCTATGCATAACACATGACACACAAGCTATTCATAGAAATAAGCAAGGAAATAAATCTTCAGAAAAGGACTCAAAGTCATAAAGCATTTCAAGGTTTCCTCTGTTGTACGAGTTTATGTTATTACTATCATTTCTATCACTGCATTTGTCACTGTCCCATCTTATAAGAAATTTGCTCTTCCACTATTGTAAAATTTGGCACTACAATCTCTGGAGAGGTTCATAACATCTCTGAACTAATTGTACTGCATTTGGTTTTTCATGAATTGCAGAATAAAGACTTAAATATACAAAAAGATAATGTCCCTACTTACTATAACTTGTTCCAGCTGCATCTATTGTTTGAATGAATCAAATTACATAATTTTTTAAAATCATTTTAGAATTTACAGTCACCCAATTCACCTCCCTTTGGGGCGAATGCTAACAATATCGAGTAAAACACTAAACTTCAGAAGGTATGGACAAATAGAAGTCTCCAATGCTACCCTCCCCGTGCCAACCTCTCGTTACGATTGTGTGGTTCAGAAAATGACCCACAAAATGGGCAAAATAGTTTTATCCTGAACTGAAATGAAATCATCGTAGGCGAAGATTTTTCAGTCATGAGTCTTTATATATACTCCGTACAACAAGTGACAGTTTTTTCTGCATACAATAATTATATTACACATTGCATACTCTATCAATTCGAGAAGCTACAAATAATTTGTGTATGTCACGTAGGCCACAGCCAGAGGCTTTTTGAGAACATTACAAAATGCTCAACTCAAGGGATTGGGATTCCTACTTTTACGCGGAAACCAAAATTCAAAAAGCATTGCAAGACTAGACTTGTAAACTTCAAAAATCTCGGTCTTCGAGTTTCCACTGCCACCACTTTCTCCCCTCTGCACTGCATTGCAGTCTCGTGTGCTGAAAAGCTTTTTCAAGACATGTTTGTTGCATGCATGAACATACATATCATCATCACATATGCCATATGCTTCCTTAAGCATCAGATATCTACCGCTATACCAGTTACCTACTTAACTGGGATGTAACAACAATGTTGGCCTCACTATTTCTTATGATCACTCCTGACTGATCTCTTCCGCCAACGCATGGTTCACATGTTTGCGTGTCAAAAGAGAGTGATACTCTCGTGCCTGACTCGAATTCTTTCACAACTGGGTTACCAAGAACATATTATTGGAGCATGAGATATTGTATATAGTTTATTTACAGTCACGCTGAATTGTACGTACCTTGGGAACCACCTAATGTATTGCCATCTGAATGGATAGCATTTGATTGCTGATAATGCAAAATGTCTTCCCCGCGTATTGGCTTTACAATTCAAGGGAAATATGTAACAATGACTAATGCTATAAACTAGATTTGACACACTACAAAGTTGATGACCTTACCTCAGAAGATTCTCCT